AGCAGCAGGTAAAGTGACAGTGGCATTAGCTCGTCCACTGTCAGTATTCCATATCAAGTCGTCTGGGCACATGATACTAGGATCCTCCTCATCTGAGAGGTATGACATCAAACAGGACAGAGTTAGGGTTAAAAGTGTAGAGCTAATTTCTGAGCCAATTGAAGGGGACCATACATCAATATATCACCCACTGAACGGTATCCTTAATTTACAACACTACAAAAATGTTTAATATTGCACAACACTTGATCCAATCTTTGTCATCTGATTGGGGGTTTGTTGATCACGTATCATTGAATTATTCATAAAACCCTTCTAATCCAGCGCAAGGACTTTTTTTGCTTTATTAGCAACCGGTGACCCACTTTTTTGTTGCTTTGTCAATGCCCTCCTTTTCTCCATGTTTAAAGCCATTTTAGCATTACATTAACCACTTGCCTCCAAGGTTCCCAGTATTGGGTACCTCGCATTTGTAAGCATAGCCCGGGTGCCTGAAATTGGACAAAGGAGTTGGGCCTTGTAACTTAAGACCGTACTCGGAACAAAGGACCGGAGCTGCTGGGAATTACCATAATTTTTCAGCTGGCATTAGCAGAGGTAATCTGTCATTGTTTAGAAACAGTATACTACTGTTTGTGGCATTCAGACCCCACGGGTTATCAGCAGGTTCAAAAGTACTCCAGCACTCCAGCGATGAGCGATACAGTACTGCTGCACGCTAATCTGGCCACATTTGAAAAGAAACCACTGCCATTCAGCAACGCACTGGGCGAATCTCAGGAACAAAAAAAATTACGCAACACAGCACAATCTGGGCTGTCTTTACTGGGCGGCAGGCCTGGCTGCAATACTTGGGTGTCAATGGAGGTTGCCTGTCAGATCAGAGTAGCCAACGGCCACCAGATAGTCATTCGTGTGGGTGTAAGCATCGAGTGAATGAAGTTATGAATTCCTGAAGATTTTTGGAAACAGAAAATCTTAAAGATCCCCCGGGAACTCATCACACATATGCAAATTCCACCCGGCCGGAAGTGGTTAAGCAGTCACTTTATTGCATGAACTGACCTTTGACTGTG